GGGGGAGAGAGGGAGAGGGAGAGAGAGGGAGAGGGAGAGAAATAGAATCAATTGGAAATGAATTAAAATTTGTTCCTTTAGCAAAAAACTTTTCAATTTTATAAGTGAACAAAATGCCTATGGTAATGGTTTAAAATTATATTGCCGTCTTAACTTTTCTTTAGGCTACTGAAGAATATTTTTGAAGTACTACACGTACTTTTAGCATGCTTTTTTTTAACAAATCTTGTCTTTTTAGAAATACCCGCGTGAAGTGAGCGGCGATGACAAATGGAACTATCAAATAGTCGCTGAATTGAACAAAGGATTATTCAATATTACTATAGATTTGGAAAATTAATTTGTCGACATATTTATAAAACATTAATTGATTTATTTTATTGCATTTCACGGATATTAAAATGTTTACGTTTAATTTGTGTTTAATTATTTAAACCATTTTATGCCCCGTCATATATAAAGTTGGATAAATAATGGCCGGTTTCCCAGCTACGTTTAACCATTAGTTACTTCTACTACGTTTAAACGTTAGTGTTTTCGATAAATTCATGAAATTCGTTTCCGAACTACGTAATTTAAGTTTTACTCCGTTAAAACATAAGTCAACCTTACACTAATGAATCGCTAGGTAATGACAAAAGAAGTGGATACTTCAGAAACCCAACATAAGTTAACCTTCTGAAAACCTAAGTGACAATACGACATTTTTAAATATATATTCTGTTATTCATTTTTATTATGGACGTTGCATTACTAAGCCTTTTCAAGAAAAAGATGGTCCGGCGGTCTACTACTTAGAAGGGGTAGAGACGCACCCCAGGTACGATAGACTAAGGGCCTGTCCCACCATTGGCGCATACAGGTTCAGATAGTTTAAAATGACGTCACTTTCAGCTAAGGGAATAAAATCCGATATTTCCATCACATTTCACATGAACACACGTTGGATTGTTATCAGACTATTTACAATTTGGTGGGACAGGCCCTGAGACGACAAGAACATGTCACTGTAATCAGTAACAACAATGTTCTGAGAATATTCATTTATGGTGGCGGCTAGATTTAGACAAACGGTAAAGATAACTGTATATGTCCATGCAAGCGTATTCACCTACCGCATATAACGTCACAGCCAGGTTGCAAACATCGCCAATTCATAAACTTACTAGAAAACTTCTGTCTAAACTTTACGACGAATAATTAACCTATTAATGTACTTAACGTATTTTTAATTGAAAAAATAAAAAAAAACCTCTTACCTTTTATTAATAACAACAATATAAAATTTTACGATTTAACATCAAAAAAATATAAAATTCACAGTAACTCGTCAAGTTGTTTTTTACATATTTTAAGTTGACAAACGAGCAAGTGGCCACCTAATTCCGTCGAAATGATGAAGAGACTGCCCATAGATATTCGCAATTACACATGCGTTGCCTACCTTTAATCTACGAAAGCGGAGACGCAAATAAACAGGATATTTCCCCTTCCTATGCATCTACTCCGCCGCCAAATCTACTTTTCCTTCCGGGTAAGATGCCCTTCTTAAAAGGGTGGAAACGAAAAGGGACTAAAATTACGCTTCCTCCTGTTGACACAACCCTAGCTTTTATCATAGATTTTAAAATGCCTAATTCGATAATTGACAAACTTCACAATCGTTCGATGGCATGCGGGTAGTTGCGAAAAACGTTTAATAGCGTCTTAGTGATTCTCATCTCGTTAGTGGCCACGCTTTTTGCATCACTTCACGCAGCTATCTTACACACACTGCCGTCTCACACGAACGTTTCATTATTAATGGATTATTAGAAAATCATTTAAGAGTGCCGATCGTTGTATACGTGATCATGATTAAATTATTTATGCTTTTTATTATATTTATGACGGTAATTAAACTTTCCACATGATCGGTCGCCGACTGGAATATGAATTTTCTGGATGTTGTCTGATCCTGGTGTGAAGAGTGCTTTTTATTGCAACATTTCTTTTATAAATATAAATGGCTTCAGTAATATGTAGTACCTTTTTATTTAATTTTATTGCAATATTTATATTTTCAATCTTATGGTCAAGTAAATCTCTGAACGAATTTAATCTAGCTTTAGATATCCTTCTTGAGCACATTATTATAATAAAATTATTTGTTTTATTTACGGGATTAAGTGAGGATCGAAGTCAACTAGTGTAGTTCTTAGTACGGTATTTAACAAACCAAAAAAAAAAACAACCATAGATAGAATTGTATTTTTTTCTAAACGACAAACTCAACAGACGCGGCGACAACTGTATAACTGGTTTATTGATTTAAGTCCATCTGTACTTTGTTTTCTTAATTACCGCAAATGTGTTTACTTCGAAGAGATAAAAAGTTGTACATCTACGTGGAATTCAGTTCTCGTGGATTTCTTTTTGTGCTCCCACTTTGATGGAAAGGAATGGACTGGTAATGCTGTAAAACGTGTTTACGACAGTCTCGTCAATGGCTTTTCGAAATGTAACATTTGAATACAATATGGTTAATATTATTACATCATTAAAAGCTTGCACCATTTACATATTTGAAAACTATTCAATAAGTTTAGGTAAACGGAAAAGGACCTTACTAACTTCGTAATTTATTTTACTCTGACTTTATTAGTTCTAATCTGGCAGTTTACTATAAGCTATAGGTTTTACAAATTGGCTAAAATGTAAAGTAGACTTTGGGTATAAGGTAAAGGGAACCTTAATTTTCTGCTCATCTCTAGATCCTTCAAACAAAAGAGCGCATCTGTTATATTACAATTTAGTAAAAGTTAAATGTCAGTAAATCTGGAGCAGACTATTAATGGGTATAACAAAGTAAATAAAAGAAAATGTTAAGATAATAAATTATCTAATTTCTGCCATTAGTGTCGCTTGAAGTGTCTACAAACTAACGATGGAAAAGTAAATCGAAACGAAACAAAAGCTAGTGTGAACTAATAGCTCGTTATACGTAGATTTATGTCTGAATTCAAATCTAGAACGGGTAACTTCTAGGGATGGGTTGTTGTAAATGAAACTACAAAATGCTCTTAGTTGTACTTATCAAGTACTTGAGGGGTGGCCGTAACAAGTGACGTAAACTATACTTTAAATTCAACTACTAATTAAACGTAAAATGGTTAACAGTTGTAATATTTAAACCATTATATTGTAACGTATAACTAACTTAATTATAATATAAATAAGTAATATAACACAATTTTGTAAAACTGTATTTTGTTAAAATAAATTTAAAAAAAACTTGTTGGATCATAACAGCTAGTGTTTTTCGTATAAATGATCGGACGACCCTATTGTCGGTGGGGTATAGCATAGCAGTTGATACATTGAATCGGAAATCAACTAGTTCGTTGACTAGCCCATCACTAGCTTCATTGCCTTGTATGGTAGGGACTTGCGGACGCATTAAGTCGTAGTTGATTCAGTGTTATTCATTTTGTTTGTTCATGACTTGACTACTTATAGGGATTGCAGTATTCCCAGCTGTTGCTCAGACATAGTGATAATAGTAAAAAGTTTTCTCACGACAGTATCTCTTATTAAGCTTTAAATTGTGTTTTTGTTTTCAGTTAAATTTTATAGATGTTGAATTTACTATTATAAGTTGCCAGTCAGTACTATGCCCTTCTCACGGAGGCGACTCAGTACTAGTCTTCCATATATGTCAGTGTCAGATTTCTTTACTCCTACCTATACTAATCACAGCAATGACACATAATCATCATCAACAGCTCACTATTTGTTTCCACTAAGGGGCTCGGCGTCTACCTAAGTAAGGAGTGACGAGGCCATAGCCAACCAAGCTGGCCAAGTGCGGGTTGGTTGACTTCACAAATATCGTTGATTTTTTCGCCGATATGTGCAGACATCACGATATTTTCCTTCCCCATAAGAACGTCGGGTAAATTATGTGCATATCAAATTGAAAATCACATTGATACGGAGGGATTCCAACCCAAGACCTGTAGATTACATGTCAAGTGCTTAAACCCCTGAGCCAAAGACGCTCTAAAACATATGTTATTATGTTATATCTAAATTTAAAGTCTATTCAAATTTACAGCATTCCAATAGCAACAAATAAATAATGTTGTCAGTGCAAACTACTCAACAATCAATCAGAATTTGTGATGCATTTGATATACGAGTGGAACATTGCGTATTCAATCGTGGAGTGGTAGATGTCTAGTGCATTTTGTAATATGACAATTATCACGATCTCCAGTCGATCATACGTCAAGATGTTAGCCAATAGTAACGAGCGTAAAACATAATGACTCGTTTGAATCCGCTTGTGTCTTGTAAAAGCAAGCTTACCTTTGACTAAATAGCGCACAACTATTGTGCGATTGTCGATTGTTTCGCAGCCAATTCAACTGTTTAGTTGCACAACTAAAAATCGAGTTTTTTCACACCTCCATATAATCTCAAAGGAATCAAAGCGAGACTAAATCGTTGTGCGATAGTTTAGTTTCAGGTGTCCACATCCTTGCATTTGCGACAATTTCTCAGATTATAATGTCCTAGTCAATCTATTTCCTCTGAATTATCGTATAGATTATATAATAGATTACAAATTTAAATATGGTTTGTTTTATGTAGCACTTCAATGTTAAAGTGACATTTTGGCGGATCACAATTAAGATAAAATGCTTAGAAAGATAATAAACTGTTTTGTAGTTAAAAAGATTTAATGAGATAGTTTTAAAATATTTATCACTTATAACATTCCCTGATATTTCATGAAATTCGTGCCGTACTTGATTACTACTTGACGGGCTCGGATGGCATTTAGATGCTTGATATATTAGTGCAGTTTGGAAATCTATTTCAATACATTCTGATAATAATTTATGTCTATAACATCTGTAATTAAATTTGTTTTTTTAAACTTTCATCTAACTTACAAATAGAGAATATAATCCTGCAAGTCAGATCAATTTTTTTTCTGGCTGAATGTGAAAATGTGTTTATCAAAAAGAAAAAAAGAATCGAAAATAAGTTTAACTGTCGAAGAATTCTATTTAAATGTTATTTCAAAATTGTATAATAATTCTATGCGGGGCCCAGTTAGCTGTAGTTTGTGTTTGGTGATTATTTTACAATCAAAATACCTACTCACCGACAACTTCGTATAATTTTATGGCAGTAAATAAAATTTAATTTATATTTATAATGCGTTCGAAATTGTAAGATTAAATAAAATTAAAAATACATTTAATAATACTGTAGTTACGAATAATACTCAGATTAATAAATTAAAATAAATCCAAACATGTAAGTTATAGAAATTGTCATCAATTTTCTCACACGTAAAACGAAACGTCTCAAAATGGCTGTTGCATATGCTGAGC